AAACAGGAGCATGTCTCGAGAGTCTCCATAAACAGTTGTTTGTAATAATTCTGGGATAAATATACCCATTTATAAGCCTTAGACATCTATTTATAAAGATCTGAAGTTTCTTAGTTTGTGTTTTATTTATGTCCCAAGTGTCACCACCATATAATAAAATGGGTATAATTATAGAATTAAACATTTGAAGTCTACTCTTTACAGATATTTCTCTGGCGTTCCATAGTTTAAAATATTTATAAAAAACGAATTTGGCATGCTTTAACCTCATTTCAACCTCATTTTTTATGTGGCCCTTATTATCTAGATTTACTACCAGATATTTGAATTCATGTACTAATTTTAATCCTAACAAATCAAAGGAACGATTTGGGTCGACATCTGCCGACGGGGAAGGCATAACAACGGTTTTATTTAAATTAATAGTTAATCCAGTTTTCTCACTATATGTCTTTAGTATATTCAAAATGTCGCAAGATTCTTCTAATGATTTGGTAGTGATAACAATATCGTCAGCATAAGAGATTATGCGATGTTTCAGGGAAAGATCATCCCTAGAGGATAGATTGAGTAAATTAAAAGCCCCTAAAGTGTCAGCGATGATTTTATTCATAATTATATTAAATAGGATTGGTGACAAGACACATCCTTGTTTAACGCCTTTACGTATTCTGAAGGAAGTAGATTGAACGTTATCGATTTTAAAAGAAGAAAAAAGAGAACAGTAACGATTTCTAAGGATTTTTATAATATTTATGTCAATCCCACTATCAGCCAGAATTTCCCATAATACTTCGTGTTTAATACTGTCGAAAGCTTTTCGGAAATCTACAAAGATAAACAGAAGTGGTAGTTTATACCTATAACTTTTTTGTTTAATGCAAGAATTGGTTGCAAGATATTCCGCCCCGGTCTGTATGCACAGATATTGTTGGATAGTAGATGTCTAATGGAATAAAGAATTCTATTTTTTATTAACACCATAAAAACTTTATATGCTATAGAGGTAAGTGCAATAGCTCTATAGTCATCAAAGACGAGTGGGTTTGGAGTTTTCGGGTAGTTACATATAAATGACAGGTTCCAATCTTTTGGAGTAAAGCCGGAAGTCCAGATTTTATTAAAAATGATTAATAGAAAGGTAGAGATATAATCAGGCGAAACTTTTAAATGTTCCGCTCTGATTCCATCTGGTCCGGCGGCTATATTAATTCTTAGTTTCATAATAGCCCTTTTTATCTCCGACGTGGTAAAATTTGACCTTGAGGAGAGAAGGTTATCATCCAGAGGCGGTACAGGGAGTTCGGAGTTAAACATTAAAGAGTAATGGTCAAGCCATAAATTTATTTGATCGTCTGGGTCACGAATAATATTGTTATTAACTTTCAGTTTGGGCAAAGGTTTGAAATTGGAGGGTTTTGAAAAATTTTTGATTTTTTATAGGCATCATAGAGTCTATTGCACCTCATATCAGCATCGATTTCCTTAGCTATATCAACGATAAATTTGCGCCTATCACTTCTTAGGAGTCTCTGGATAGTTTTCCATAACTCCTTGTCTTGATAACTCCTAGTCCTTAGTTCTAGAATTTTAGATTGTGTGATAGGGGACATCCATTCTTTAAGAGAAGGGCCACTGACTTTTGTATATTCTTTACATGTAGAAATTTTTATTAACAAGTAAAATTATCACATGTATAGTAAATCAAAAACTTTAAATATATATATATATCTAGTAAATCAATTTAAGGTAAATCAATTGATGGTTTGAGGCTTCGTATGTAGAAATAAAATAATATATTATTTAGTGAATGTTTTTGTATAAGTAAATAGTCATAGTTTAAAGCTTCAATTAACTTTGTAATGATATTAAATTATATTATGCAACATTCCGTAACTTTTTTTCAGTGTAATTATATTTTTATTAATAAATTATATATTTTACCTTTGATTAAGATTTGTAAATCATAATTATTTATATATTAATAAAAAATATAAATGATTTATAAAGTAACTTGTAAAACTAGTAACATCCAAAAAATGTAACTAGTTACCTTCTTATGATTGCAATAATTAAATTTCAAAAGTAACTTTTAACAACACTAGTACCCTGTTAATAACTTATTTTAGATTCTTGTATTTCATATGCTTATTAAATTATTATATTTATAACTATTATAATAGATACATAAAGTAAAAATCATTAAATATTATATACATAGGTATAGAATAGTTAAAATCTTTTAGAATTTATTTATTTTTAGTGAAATTATTGAAATTTTGATATTATTTACAAGTTTTATATTTTAATAGTTGAATACAATTTAAAGTATTTTAAATTTATATATTTTATAAATAATTAAATTTTATTTTATATATTAAAAATTAATAAGAAATTTTTTTAAATAATAAAAATACTTTTTTATTGACTTAAAATATTAATTTTTAAACATGGCGAATATATCATGTTAAAAATTATATGGTTTGTATTTATATTAACCCTTCACTACATAGGTGGAAAAAACTCCCGCGGTTACATAGGTGGGGTCTATTTTACCTTAAATTTTAAATAGCTATATCTCAGAAAATAATAAAATTTAAGACCTAAAATTTTACACACATATTGTAAAAATATTAGAGATAATAAATACAAAATTTCTAGATTTCCATTTACTTCTAAATAAAGTTATGGTATTTTTACTAAAGCTGCTCAAAAAAAAAATCTTTTTTTGGAACTTTCCTTAATCATATGATATGACCAAAAATAAATGAAAGGAAGCAAATTTGATTATATATTTTATTAATTCAATATTTTATAGTAATAATTAAATACATTTTATAATAAAACATTAGATATTAAATTTGATATTAAAGTTCATGCATCTTTTTTAAAAACATTCACGACATGTTACATACATATGATCTTTGCATATAAATTTTGAACAAATAAATGAGGATTTCTTGTCCCTAACCCTTAGACAAGAGGAGCACCTTCCTTTTTGTTTGGTTGTTATAGGTTTTAATTCTTCTATATTAAGCATATTCCCAATATTATCCCTTAGCAGTTTATAAACATGTGGGTTTTTGTACTAATATTATAAACTTTGATCTATTTATCTCCTTTAAATTATTGGACTTATAAATTATTAAAGAATTTATGCAAGATATATTCAACAAATTATAAAAAATTGCCATAGGCCATCTATTTGTTATTCTGGATATTTAGTGAAGGGTAGAAAGCATCATGCTTATACTTTTTTGGTACATATGATACTAATGTCATATTATCTTAGCAGGCAAATAAACTTGAACAAATATCTTTCTTTTTAAAATTATATGATGTTGGAAACTGCTTTTTATTTTTTCGTAAAGTTCCTACTATTGTTAATGAATGATAATTTAATAAATGTATAGCAAATTCATAACTGGTAAAGCAGTTATCTGTGGTGACATTCCTATTACTCTTAGAAATGGGCTGAATTAACCTTTAAACCACATCAAAAGGCTTATTTCTCAATTTATATGGTCCTTCAGGCTGATTGCCAGCATATAATTCTATTTTCAAAGTATAAAATGTCACTAGAATAATTCAAATTAAAAATCATATGTTAAATTTATGATTTTTTACTCCACCAAAAAAATAAATGATATAAAATTTTCAAATTTAAAGTCATATATATCAATCAAAAAATAGATATAATTATATTTTTTTCAATTATATTTATTAACCTGACATACATAAATATAATTAGTAACAAAAAAAAATTGGATTTTAAAAAAAAATTACGTCATTACATAGGTGGGGTATATTTTACCCCAAGCTCAACAAATAGCATATATCTCAAAAACTATCAAATCAATAATCATGAAATTTGTAATTTGTATTCCTTGTTACAAAATATTAAACTACTGAAAAAACCAGGTTGGAATATCTTCTAGGTTTTGTATTACAATTATTATAAAAGTTGTGGGATCGTATTTACCCCACCTTTGTAGTGAAGGGTTAAATATAATTTTTAAAAAAACTTATTTGTAAAATTTTGAACGAACATGAATGCATTCCTTTTTATGAAGGTGAAGATTGAACTTGAACACAATTGTTGTATATGTTTTTAAGTATTTTTTCATATGCAGGTTTTGTTATTACCACTCAGTAGGGTGTTATTGTTTTAAAAAATAGATGGTATCAGTAAACGTTGTCAGATTTTTCAACTAAATTGAGTAACTATAAAAAATGAGAAAAAAGGGAAAATTTTTATATAATTAGCATCAATAATGCGCATTTTAAAGTAATGTTTATAGCAGTCATGATAACAAATAAATATGTTAGAATCCTATAACATCTATAAAAAATTTTGATACTTATTTTAAAAAAATTTATTTTTGCAAAACCATCAATTAATTAAATAAGAATATTCATAATAAAAGTCAGCACAAGCAGCTCTAACCAGTCAAAGGAGATTTTTGGGCCAGCATAGAATTATCTTTAAAAGGACTTTAAATTAGTGGTGTTAAACAGCTTGTTTTGAGCCGATTTTTCAAAACAACTTATTCAATATTTTAGCAGAAAAATATTGCTTAAGCCTCGAGATTTTGATAATATATGTCTAAACCTTTGTTCTTTCTATGAGCAAATTCTTCAGGCTTGCATATTTCTGGATGAAATATTGAGTTAGCCGTTTTAAAAAATCGGCTCAAAACGAGTCGTTTAACAACACTACCTTAAATATATATTTTGTGCAAGTTGTCAACCAACATAATAATATTGTTTATAAAATAATTATGTCTAATTATCCACTTTATAAACGTTTTCAAAACTCCAGATCCTGGTCCAAAAATATTTTTGCCAAACCAGGCTGAACATTGCACTAATTCATATTTACTTCATTTTACCCTCGTATATTTTCTATAATATTTTATATTTTAAAATCATTTGCATAATATTTGTTTTATAAAACAACCAAATGAGCTTGAAAAGATATAAATAGTTATATATGTTACTTATATTTAATGAAGCAAAACTATCAATAATATGTTTTGTAGATATTGGATCTGATTGTTTTTTATTTTTGGATTTATTAGTAGTGTTCAGTGTTAAGCCCTTTAAAATTACATTAATTAAACCAAATTACATATTTTATCATACTTGTTTAACCTCTTCAATTTTTTTAATTTCATCAGGATGAAGTCCAGGAGGGTACTTTGAGTATTGTATATATTCTTTTTTACCTTTACATTCATATCTAATTTAAATATAATACATATAAATTAACTATTATGACTTTCAAAATAAGTATATATAATAAATTATATTACAATGGTACTACTTCTTGAGGAATGTATCCTTTTTTTACTTTAACTTCTTTTCGCCATGACCCGTCAGGCCTTTGCGTAGCTGGTAAAATAATATCACCTTCCCTAAACTATTATAAAGCCTTTAAATGTATAAACAACCTGAACCATCTATTAGCGTTCCTGGGTACTGCATCAATCGCATCAATAGAGGAATCCGTACCCTCCAAAGTACATTACTAAACAACACCTTAATGACATTACAATATGAGATTATTTATAAAAGAAAAATGCTTTTAATGAAAGTCCAAAGTACATTTTAACTAAACAAACCTTAATGACATTACAATTTGAGATTATTTATAAAAGAAAAACTCGTTTTAATGAAAGTATTTGTCACTTGGCAAAATTTTTTTTAAATTATAATAAATATACCACAGATAATCTCAAATAGGACCCCTAAACATTTTTGCTCAAAATTTTAGCTGGGTCACATATTCATGCTTAGTAACAGAATAGGGATATTCTAGCTTTAAAGATTAGGTTAAAATTAAATACTCTCTATAAAATTTCGGTATAACAGTTACTTTATTTTTTTTGAATATATATTTTCAATAATTTATTTGTTTCCTTGGCATAATTTTTATTTTTATTCATCAAATAATTGTGCTGATTTTATGTCGAAACACTTATTCGCAAAATTTTAATCCCGAATGAATTTTATAGCAAAACTTTTAATACACATTAGCTAATACTTTTCCGGAAATTGCGATTATTTTATACCTATCGTGAAAACTTTAAAGGGAATATATTACAGTGAAACTTTTACCGCGAATCAATACAGGGTTGCATGTGTTTTATTTGGTGATATAATAAAAACAAAAACTATTAAGTGGTATAATAATAAGTTTGAGGTGTTTAAAAAACAGAAATACCACATTTATTTATTAGGAAAAAAATTTAACAATTAATAAAAAATTTTCATAAACTTTTCAATTACAAAAAAATAATTTTTTAAATTTAAAATGTTTAATATTAATAATATTTTATCTAATAATACCAATAATAGTTTTAGAAATTCTTTTATATAATAATAATTCCTTTTTATCTAATTATTCCTTTTTCACATCATTTTCGCAATCTGCTATAATTCTACTATAATAAACCCTATAAACTCACCGGCAATTCAAAACCCAAAAAGAAAATATAATTGCTGGAATAAAGAGAAAATTGACATAGTAAACAAATTTTTGTCCCAGCCGGAAATGGAAAGAATGAAAATAAAGGACATTGCCAAACATATTGATATGTTAATAGCCTCGGTTAACAAATTAAGGCAATAAACTTTTCCAGAGTTTGGGGGGACATTGAAGCAATATCAAATTCAAAAAAGGGGTGCAAAAAAAAGACACATCCGAAATCGAAAGAAGGGTTATAAATATTTTAATGGATAACAACACCTCGACTATCAAAGATATCATAGAAAATTTGCCTCCAGGTTTCCCAAAAAATGAGGGGACCATCCGAAAATATATTAAAAAAATAGGATGGTCTAAAAAAAGGGCTGGAATCAGCGTTTACATGACAGGATTTTCACTGGATTCAAACCCCCTTAAAACCTTTGCCTACCCCCCTAATAATAATCCGCCGCCTTGGCAGCAGTGTCTCTATATTATTATTTTCTTTATAATTATATTGATACTCTTTTCAGAGAATTTATAAGGATAACTTAAATTAATCTATCTCTTCTACCAACTATCGATATTTTGTGAATATAAAGAACTTATTTTTTAGATAATAAATTCAATTATAACCTCCATTATTTATAATGATTTAATTATTATGGCATTATGAGCTTGCTGATTTGGGAAACAATATGTACGATTGTTTGCAATATATAGATTTGGTCAATAATTATATTATAATAATTCTATAATAAAAGTATTAATTTTTACAGCAATAAATTGTGTCCTATTTAATCTCAAAAATTAATAGATAATCCCCAAAAAAAATTATCCTTCTACCCTCATTAAAGCATCCTGCCCACTACCCCCACAAAAAAAATAGGATGCAAACTGTTCCTAATAGTAGCGTAGCTACGGAGGTGGTTTTCGGGTTTGGACCCCTCCTAGAGCAAAATTTTTTTTGAGATTATACGTTCAAAAGACTTAAAAGTGATTTTATATTAATAATATTTTTCTGGTTTTGATGTTTGTGGAAGGATATTATATTACTATTGAAATTATTCTGGATAGTTTTATTATAAAGTCATTGAAAATAATCTACTAAATTATTATAACATATTATTGATGCATTTAAAAAATATATTTATTATATATTATCGAAGATATGGTTATGATTTGTAAGGGCCGAAGGCCTGTTAAAGGGGGTCTGGGGGCGAAGCCCCCCATTTTTTATATGTATGGACCCCCTCTAAATAAAATTCCTAGCTAAGCCACTGGTTCCTACCCCTCCCGCTCATGTAGACGCTGGCTGGAATAGAGCCCGATCGACGAAATACATCAGGAGCAATTCGCATTCGCCAGGCTTATTGCCTTTAAAGGCTAAACATTCCTATGGAAAAAATGTTCTTCCTGGATGAAACAGGCATAAACCTACATGTTGTACCTGTGTATGCTTGGGCCCCCCTACAACGTCACACCAACTGTGATAGTTCAACCTTCCAAAGATACGAATGTTAGCATTTTATGTACAATAGGAATTGGTGGCCTTATAACCTATCGAATTATTAAAGAGCCAATTAATGGGTATCTTTTCCTTGATTATCTGAGAGAATTAGTAACAATTCTTCCAAATGATGCAATTATCATTATGAATAATGCCGCAATACACAAGTCTCATCTTATTGATAGCTATAAAAATCGAATTGAATATCTTCCGCCATATTCACCTCAATTAAATCCTATTGAAAACTTTTTCGGGGTCATGAAAAACAAATATAGGTCTATACCAAGGCCGAACAATAGAGATCAAATCATAAATAATGTTACTTCGATATTAAATCAGTACATTCCGGATTTTACAAACTTTTATAATCATATGCATGATTTTTTGGAACTTGGTTTTCGGGGACAACCAATCAATTAAAGGTAATATAAATTTATATAATATTTTAAATATATTTTTATCTTTTCTCTATTTATATTAAAATAAAGATGCCAATTTCGGAACACTCAAAACTAAACAAGAATGCAATTTTAAAATATAATATTAATTAAATCATTATGCATATTATTATTATTGTGTTTGTATTTGTAATTATAGATTATTATAATATATACAAAATAAAATATTCTTTGGTTGATAATTTTTATATTTCGTTCTTCTGAGCGATTTTCTATAGAAAAAAAAGAATGACATTTACATTTATCTGCAATATAAGTTAATTACTTTAAAGGTGGGTGGTGGCTGATTTTAAGTTTAAATTCTTTAGTGTAAGTCTTTATGATCAATATTGAGATTTAAGGTTTATAGAATCTGAAATAAAGATCATTAAATACATAGTATTATTTTTTGTTGATGATTTATACAATATTACCACTTATACTTCCAAATCTTCCAAAAAATTAATTTTCCAATTACGATATCCTAGAAACATTTCATAGGTAAATTCTTATGTTACTTTTTTTTTAAAAATTATTGTAAAAATTTGAAAAAATATTCACTTAAACTATTTTTTTCCTAATACATAAATGAGGTATTTATGTTTTTTAAAAACTTCATAATTAATTATTATGCCACTTAATAGTTTTTGTTTTTATTATATCACCAAATAAAACACATGCAACCCTATAATAAAGAAAATCGAAACCCAAATCACGAAGACAATATAGCGAAACTTTTCGCATAAAGATATTGTAACGAATTTAATATCATGAGGTCAATATCCGATTATAGAGTGTTGATACTAACTAAAAGCTTCAATATATTTGCATAATTATTTCTTCCAAAGATTTTTAGTGTTTTTATTATATCAATTTTTTAAACTTAATAAATTCTGATATGATTTATATCGTAAGTATAGCCATCACTGTTTAACCAGCATGTATTATTTGTGTGGCTATTTAATCTAAGATTATTACTCCTGCTGCTGAGAGCATTTGATTGCATATCTAGTGGTTTATATATCATTAAAAATGGAAGATAATCTTTCAGAAATTAATTAATATCTTACAATAATTTTCTCGATTATTTATCTAGCTTCATATTCTTATCTAAGAGGAAGCTCTAACCATCAGATAGTTTTATGATTTCGATTTGTCGTTTATATTCTCTTCTTCAAGAATTGTTGCTTTGGTAAGGCATATAAATTTTTCCTTATTAGTCCAATGTAAAAAACATTGTCTAAAAAATAGTAATAGAGAGTTGTATTAGTTTCATGACCATTTGTCAATGTACTCAAAGTTTACAAATTTCAATTAAAAAGTATAATATCATAAAAAAATTGAGTTAAGCCCCCTAAGATTGTAAGGGCTAGTGACGCTACTGGTCTAGTCTCTTAAGAGTATGGTCTGTATATCAGGAAACGTCGTTAAAACGCCTAAAAATTTATACCATGCATTAGAAAAGTTAAAAATGATAATATTATTATTATATAAAATGCAACTCGTGGTTTTAAGAGTGTCTATAAGGCATTTTTTTATTAATTTAATTTCTTTATACTCCATCAGCCAGACATATTGTTTGCATATAATATGCCTGGCTTATAATATTCGATAAATTAAAATTTAATTCATATAATTGTTTTAAAATACAATCATGCGCGTACGAAAATTGGTGTAGAGGGGGGCGGATTAAAATTTTTTTAAATAAAATCATTGTTATTTAAAAATACAGAGCATAATTTTTTTTAGGACTAATAATTATTTCTAATACAGAATTTTAAATTAATGTGAATTATAAAAAATAAATATATAAACCGGCATATAGAAAACTATAAAATAAATGTGAATTAAAAAAATATTAAACGGATATAACCGGCGGCATATGAAAAACTATAATATAAATGTGAATTATAAAATGTTAAGTAAATATAACCAGCATATAAATCAGAAATCACTATAAAATAAATGACCCAAAATAGAAATTTAAATTTGAGCCTTTAAAATTTATATATAAAGTATTAAATCTTGGAAATATAAATTATTACACAAGTTTCTTAGGAATAATTGTATTTTGTATGCAATAACTTAAAAAGTATTCATGAAAAAATATAATTAAAATATTAATTCGCTCATAAAATAATTAAGAAGCATATTATAAATTTATATGTAAAATCCAATCTTCATTGAGATTGGGTTTATTGTTCAATTATCTCATCTGTGCTTGGCGTCAAATGCCTACGAATATTCAAAAGGGCCAAACCATTCAATAAATTGTCAGAAGTTGTACTCCTTAGGTATGTTTTTATTCTTCTTAAAGAAGGGAATGTTCTCTCATTAGTTGTAGTACTAATGTGAAGTGTTGCTAATATATATAATTTATTATACATTGGGAAAATAATCTTAAAGATGTTTGAAATGATGCAAAGCATCCATGGCATTTTTTGGGACTATATCAATCATAGTTAATTTTTATATACTATAGTTGGTATTCAGCTAATAAGGCATCATAAGATACTTTAACATTTTCATGAAAAAATCTGATAAATATTTTATTTTTTTTCTATTACTATCTGAAAAAGGTTGGTAAGGCTTTAGTGGAAGAAATATCTGCAGACTGCTAAGTGCTGCCTGATGAATTAAAACCCGTTCTATTTGGGTTATAAATGTATCTAAGAAAGGGATAAAGACATTTATTTTATAATACTCTTCTACTGACCCTATATTAATGTTAGATCGATAAGCTTGCCTCGCTGTAAGCCGAGAAATAATCTCATATAGCTCTGCTTTTGACTCAAAAATAACATATAAAATATGAAATTCTTCAATAACATTAGCCCTAATTTTCCTGAGTTCTAATAATATGCTCTCCGCTATTCTCATCGTTTCAATCAAGTCAATGTTATGTTTTTAAAAATACATGATATATATTCTAATGAGAAAAAAAAGTTAGTATTGAAACCAATGATATGCTTGCTTCTGAGGATATATCTCCTTCAGGTGTGATTTTTCAGTAAGAGCATAATAATCAACTCTTCTAACTCTATAAAAGCTGTTTTGATGGCAAAGACTCCATCTCGTTGGACAAACTTTTTGCAATGTCTTTCTCCTTGTTGGACAAGGAGTTTCAGAAACAATTCTGTTTACAGAATCTCCTAATGCTTGAAATTTTACAAGACCACGAAAAAATTACCTTCATTATAATTATTATTGAAATTCAAGCTTCCTGAATCCAAATGACCATGTAATTCTGGGCCCTGCAATCCACAATATAGTATAGCCTCAATAGTTAGCTTGATCTCTATTTTCTTTTGCTATTTAAATCCTATTTTTGTCAATATGTGATAAAATGGGAATCTTATCCCCACAATTAATTTGAAGAAATAATGGGTTCATCGCGTTTATGATAAATTTGTTTTATTGTCAAAGATTTATCCAGCATCTTTGTACTTGTTGACTTAACTAACAGGACTCATAACTTGCAATAAGCTCCATTGTCTCGGTAGAGAATTCTAGCCACAACCATCTAGTAAAATAGCTGTTTTGAAATTTTAACTTTCAATTAGCATATAAAGTTTGTGAGAAATTTGAGGGGTAGAATATAAATCTATTATTAAATAAAATATTAATCTTAGGTATCTTTATAACCCTTAAGAAGCTTATGTTTTACTTCTAGGATAATTATGAAATGATATAAAATTATTTGTACTTTTTTGCTTTTTTGTAAGATGACTAGGATTTTCATGATCATAAATATGTTTAAAAAATTTCTTATGTCCATAATTATTATTTGACCCAAGAAAAACTTGAAATCGAAATTAATTGATAAAATAAATTAGTAAATAAATGTGATAAATAAATGTAATTAAATATATTTAAAACGAAAGAGAATGGATTAAATATTTTAAAATACAACTTAATATAAACAATAATATGAAAAATTTATCTGGCATCTGCATTTTTTGGCTTTGGGGGGGGGGGGGGGATTTGTCCCCCCTGCCCTCCCCGCTGCGTACGCCAATGAATACAATTAGTAATGCTTCAGCAGAAAGACATTGTAAATTAATGATTCCTATTAAATTTTCTTGTATTTCTTCATAAAAAATGTAATGAATAATTAAGATCAGAGGTTTTTACAAATTGTTTATTAATTTGTATAAATTAAGTAAATAATATTTTTCTAAAAATTTTGTTGTATTTTCACTTAGATTTAATCGTTAATTATGAATTAAAATTTAACAAAATAATTTTTTTAAATATGGGGCTAAAATTCAGGTGCCATATTTAAGGGCCAAATTTTTTTTTAAGGGGGGGGGGTATGGCTACTGTCTTGTGTCACTATCACCATGATACAGCAAAAGGATAATATGTTTTTAAAAGTAAAGACAATATGTAATGTAGACTATTTTATTTTAAAACATACTAACTGATGAAAAGAAGTAAAATTTCATTGTATTATAGAATTTAAAAGATGAATAATTTTATTAATTCTATACGCTTAATGGATATTTAATAATCTGTTTGTATAAATTTATCTATCATTCTATCACGTGGTATTCTGCCATTTTGGGCTATCTTGTTCCATTCTTTGAATTATTGCTCGAAATTGCTCTCTAAATGTCCAGTGTTGTAGAAACGTTAAATGAATTATTAGACGAATGGCTAGAAAAATCTAGAGCTCTTAATTATTCTCCAATTTCTATATTAGAAAAGTTAGTTAATCATTTTCTCTGTGTATCTTTATTCTATTTAGATTATGCGATTTAGTTGAAGAGCAAACTGAAATATTTTACAAAATTGACCCTGATCCGTTTGATGAGCGCCATCCATGTAAATATACTTATAGTTATTTTAAAAATAATTTTATTTAGCAAGAATTGATCCTGATGGAGGTTTAGGGATGGTGCTTAAAGCCATTCTTAAACATGATGATTTTATGAACACATTAGTTGATAATTACATGAATACAAGAAACTATTCGATTAAAGATGACAGTCATATAATATCTACCTCATGTCGACTTTTTCTTGATATATTACCAGGAATGGAAACCTCATTTGTACTATCTGAAGCAGTATATTTTGATTGCTAAAAAGTTTATCAAACTAATTTGTTATTTTTTTAAGGAAGGGCTACTATCACGATTATACAAATGGGCAGAAGAAGCTCCAGAACCATTGAGTTCTTATTCAGTTGGTATAATTGCATCAGCTATGGAAATTCCTGAATTAGCAGGGGAATCCAAAGAGAATAATGCACATCTTGTAATATTGATATTTATACTATAAATCACATGTTTTATATTAAGGTACCAATAATGATTAAAAGACTTAAAACATTATGTAATGAGTTTAAATCTAATCAAAATGAGATGCAGCTACCACCTTTAAAATGTGAGGCTATGCCTCAAAGAGCATTTTCAGAAATATTTAATTCCACATCCAATTTAGAAAATAGTCCAGAAAATTTGGAAACTACATTACAACCTAAAAAGCGTAAAAATAATTTGGGAATAGAAACACAAAAATCTCTAAAATCAAAACGTCTAAAGATGAAAAGAGATGACACTAGTTTTATTGTAATTTAAATCAATATTAATAGATTTATATCTTTATCACTTTTCTTATTAATTCGAAATTATTTCACAAATATCTGGATGCTTAAACAATATATGGATATTTTAATTATTATAAGATTTAGTTGCATATTATAAATTTTAAATGAATTGTTTGAGAAAGTTTATATTTTTTTAAATATGTTACTTACAGGACACCAATAGCAATTCAAATTGGGCAGAAATGCAACCTCATATTATAGGATCTTATAAAATGAGCCCACTGACCTCTCAAATGAAACAGAGACTAATACTCAAATATTTAACAGCTCTTGGTGGTTATCAAGAGGTCAGTTCCACAATAATTTTTTTATTTATAACTATATTTTATTAGTTTGACTAGGGGGTACCAATACCTCTTTTTGGAAACCAATCCATTTCTATATTCCTGATATTAAATTGATATCAGCTGATTACCGATCCAATATCATATCTAATTTTGTTTCTGTAAAGATACCAATAGTTTTAATTTTTGATATACTTTTTATTAGTATGACATCTATAATTTAACTATACTATAACATATGTTTAAATATATTTTCATGATAAGTTATAGTTTATATTCAATTCAATTCCAGTTCTAGAAGTATATAAAGTATTTTATTAATAAATCACTTATTTATAAAAATAAATAATAACATTAATCTATTTACATAATAAGTAATAAACAAATATATTATGAAATTTGAAATAAATATTTTCATTAATGTTTAAGATTAATATATTAAGATTCCTTTTTAGAAATACCAAAATTCCCAATTTATCAGAGGTCAGCCTGCAGTGATGCGGACTGTCAATATTACCAGCTTCACTAAAAACAGGTTTTTAAGAGATACTTGTGGTAGTTGCTATATATTAACGAGCAAGTTTAGATAGAGTTGCATATTTATGGCAATTCACAGCCCAATATTTCAAAGGATCAGCAGAGGTATTACAATGTTTTGAATACTGGTTCATTGAGATAGTTTTCAATCTCAAGGGAAAGGGAAATTTTTAATGGTAATGTTATTGTAGCTTTAACAGCATCAGCATAAGCTCTCTACAAACAATATACCAGTTGAATCTATTGCTGATGTTGATGGAATTTCTTCTATATATTTTGATTATCTTTTCTAAATTTTTTAAATTAAAAAAAAATATTTACTAAATAGATTTAATTCATTACCTAGGGTGGATGAATTAATTTTCTCACAGGCATTACTGTCAACACATTCTAGAAGTAGTTTTTGTCTATAATTTGTTTGAATTGAAAAAAAGATTGTTTTAAATTAGGAATTCAAAATTGTTGCTATGAAGTATATTTTATCATTATAAATATAGGAAAAACATTTAATAAGATCTTTATGCATAGCATCCTTCATAGTTTGGACACCTTTATTGTACTCACCATGACTAGCAAGCTCTTTTTTAAGTAATTCTACAAATGGAATTACTATGCTAATTGACACATTTTCTCCACTATAATCTTTAGTGATATGTTGAATTGGTAATAGGGCCAGATTTATTTTTGTTCAGAATGTTTATTAATTAATTATCATTATTAATAAAATAAACATAAAAATGGATATCGATTTTATTTATATAAATAAATATCTAAAATTTTTTAAAAAATTTATAACATCTTATTTTTGTTAAAAACGCCATTTTTTCGGTTCTGAAAATTTTATAATATTGGCCGATAACCGATATTTAAAAATGGGTAAAATATTGTCCCTAGGAGCTAAAGACCCACATATGTACCATTCATATGCCCAAGCCAAATATTTAAAATTATTCATCCTATCTTCCAAACTGGCCTAGATTTTTTTTTAAAAAATTGATCATTTTATAACTGGGCCAATTCTGATCCAGATTTTTAGTTTTTAAAATGTGATTATTCTAAATAATTTTAGCTATATTCTATAAATGGCTTTGAAGTCAAAATGGGAAATATGCAAAGCAAATGAATGCTGAATGATTCATCGCATCATTTTTTAAACTCTTAAATTTAAATTAGCAGTATAGCTAGGAGTTTTTTTATATAACATTTTATGACTTGGGGATAACCATGGCATCACCATTAACCAAATAAAATCAATACAATATCATCTTAACAATTCGTTATAGAATATGATTTATTCAAAAAAATTGGAAATTTAAATGAGTGTATATGATAAGTATCTATAAATCTCAAACTTAACTATATTTAAAAATATTGAAAATCACTTTGCACATGAATTTTATAATTTTAATTAGATATATTCAATATACAAAAAAAATACATAATCAAACACAATATAGCATGTACCTGCAATTTTCGAGTTTGATGCCTTGAACCTCTTATTCCATTACATAGATCTAGCTACACCAAACACTCAACACCCAGAATCGGAATTGATTGATGCATGCTTAACTTTCAAAGCTTTGCATTACTTAGCAAGCCTATTTGTTCACAAAAAATTTGCCTTAGCTTTTATAAACTCTGGGGGCCTTCAAAAATTGTTGGAAATAAGGCGACCTTCAATGGCTGCCACTGGAGTTAGCTTATGTTTGTATTATTTGGCTTATTATGAAGAGGCTATGGAGAGGGTAATTTTTAAACACCTTTATGTAATTGTTTTATTCAAATTTTTGAATTTAATGCTTTTCTAACTAATTTATTTTATTCTGAACTCGAAATTAACTGTAATGTTGATATATTATTTAGAATAACAATAATAATTTTGTTGCCCCTTTATACAAATTTATATTTGATCCTTTTAAAATAAAATATAGATATGCCAATTACCTTATGCTGTTCTGGAAAAGTTGATAGAGTAAATATATTATACAATAAAATGATGATTCATTTGTTTAGTATTATATTTTATTAAAGGAATTCCATTTTTTTCTATATGTCCAAAGTTGGTTTAGTTTTCATAAGCAATAATGAATTAATATTATAAATTTTTTGTTGGGCATTACCTACTACTGCTTATGAGAAGTAAATTAGATTTGAATGTTTTAACTAATATTTTTGAAAAATGATGTAGAAATTTTTGTGGGGTCTGTCAGCACAATTTTATTTCTATATATCTATATATATCTATATACATCTATCTACATTTCTATTTATTATTATTATTTTGACATTAATTAATTCTTAAACTTTATTTAAAAAATTTAATGAGAATTTTAACTTACAAGCTATCAAATTTCCCATTTTTGATGATGGGTGAATTAGAAATTTGATATTTATTTAATGTAGTATGAATAAGAAATGCCTCTTTATTTTGATCAGGTGATCTTATAATTTCCGCTATTTTGATAAAGTATGTTAGTTTACTGAAGTGTTGATTTTACTGGGGAGGGGGGGTATAATTATTTTGAATATATTTTAAATCATTATTTTTAAGATATCAATTTCATAATATCAAAAAATCTTCTTTACACACACAATAAAAAATATTTTTGAACTATATTATCTTTTAAGCATTTGTGTACGTGTTATTTATTAATTTTTAAATCTAGCTACGTGAAGGTTTTATATATATTATTTTCGATTTTCTATTGATTACACCCTCACTTAGCAAGTTTGAAATTTTTATAAATTTAATGAAGCTACCAAAGATTCGAGATATGTAATAAATAACCATTTTCAAGTAACATTAATTTTTAACACCCTAGGTCCTATAAACCCCACGAGAGTACTGAAGGATTAAAGACAAATTTTAAATAAATTTTATTAAAAATTTATATATATAGATATATATTATGGTTATTGGTTTGTTCTCATCAATCTGGTAGAACTCACGCAGTTCTGTTTTTCTCTGTATCATTCCCTTTCAAAATCATATTGGATATCTTCGATTGTCAAGATGGACTCAGGAAGTTGTATAATAACGTAAATAAAGGCTACATATAACCTTTGATTATTTACACTTACTTTCTTTTCTCTTTATATTACTTTTGAATGTGACATTCTATCTTATTTTATATGTAACATATTTGGGAACCCTCGTTTCGAAACTATTTATCCACTCTTTAAAATTTTTTGGATCATCATTAGCTAAGCACTCTGGATATTTTTGATGACGACAACAATGCATTTGTCAGCGATGACGATGTATTCGTTAAAAGGCAATCTTGCAGGTATAGTATAATGGCGCTTAAAAGATATCTCGAAGCTCAGCTTATCCTTATCACAACTAGGGGCTTGATCTGTAATAATATTAAAAAGTCACAAAGTACAGATCTAGATAGTTTTATGGTCGACAATGATGGCCCTCAAAGGGACAAATTGCACCTTTCATATAATCCTCAAGTGGTTCACAAAGAGCTAGGTGAAAGCAATGTCATTACTCAAAGTCTTAGTAGGCCTCGCGTTCATTGGGATACTAAAGTAAATTTAAATCTTAATGTATATATTAATCAATTTTTTTATTATAATATTTTGTCAATTAATATCATAGACCTGCAGTAGTACTAATTGCTGGATTTAAAAAAATTTATTTGGCCTGTGTGGTGATCTCTATATGCTTAGTGGTAAGACTTACGGACTTTTAGTTAAAAAAACAACGTACACAAATTTTCTTGTAATTTATTTCTTTCAATTTCAGTACAAAAAAAATATATTTTTTATAAACGCGAAGAATGAATACAATAATTAGTTTTTCTTTTCTTTTTTTACATAAACATTTTCAAAAAAATCAATAATACCAAATCAATAATATTTTTTTCTTTACACTTTTCATCAATAACCTAATTTCAACACAAAAATCAATTATTTTACATCATATCACAACATGTACCCCCTTCTAAGGATAAAATCCAGGGTACATGCAAATAAAAATTTCCGCACTACAAAAAAAACTATTATTCCGCTAAAATTTATTTATATAAAAAAAATATTCACACAACACAAAAAAAATCATGGGACCAGAGCGTTTATGAGGAACTCCTCTATAGAGTCGCTCATTTCCACCTCTGTTCCTCTATCGTTAAAATTATTATTTTTTTGACCCGTCATTTTAGAATTCCTAGTTCCATCCTGAATTTCCCTTTTACCCAAATTCTTCATCACCCCACATGGAACAGTTTCGGCTGCTGGAAGGAATTTATACATCAGACGCCGTTTCGCAAAATCTTCTGCTTCCCTAGCTATTAATCGTTAATCGTCTATTATCCTCCGCTTTTGCCCCCCAGCCCAACGATTGAGCCCATTGTTCAACAGATACGATGTGCTCACCCCGCTTGTGCACTCCCTAGCTTTATGTCAAAATTATTTTTAATTCATGGAGTCATTTTATATTAAGGCCCATAGAACTATTATTCAGGTGAATTCTTTGGATATAGCGAACCTATTGGCTGACCAATGGCTTAATTTATGGATTGATCAACAAACAGGAGAAGGAGCAACACAAACATTCTCGTATGGTCCTATTTCCTCACAAGGAAAGGTGGCGTTACATGCAAATTACGCGTCTGGGCCGGCTACTATTCCAATGCGGCAACTGGGGATGAGAGGAACCAACATAAACTGCTTCAATTGTGGTGGAGGGGGACATAAAGCTAGGGAGTGCGCAAGCGTGGTGAGCACATCGTACACGTTGAACAATGGGCTCAATCGTTGGGCTAGGGGGCAATAGAGGAGGTTAATAGACGATTCACGATTAATAGCTAGGGAAGCAGAAGATTTTGCGGAACGGCGTCTGATGTATAAATTCCTTCCAGCAGCCAAAACTGTTCCATGTGGGGTGATGAAGAATTTGGGTAAAAGGGAAATTCAGGATGAAACTAGGAATTCTAAAATGACGGGTCAAAAAAATAATAATTTTAACGATAGAGGAACTGAGGTGGAAATGAGCGACTCTATAGAGGAGTTCCTCATAAACGCTCCGGTCCCATGATTTTTTTTTGTGTTGTGTGAATATTTTTTTTATATTAATAATTATTTTCAACAAAAACTTCTTACCTTTCAAAACAATTTACAAAACTAGATAAAACGATAACACAACAATTTCTTCTTTATTTTTTTTACTACCAACAAACATAATAAAATAATATTATTATTATTTTTTCCTTTACATCTCTTTCTTTAACTTTAAAAATATTTTACATATTACCCTACCAGTTTTTTTTTCTTTTTTTTAACCTCTCCTTTTTTTTAAAAAAAATTTCTCTTTTACACCATACGCCGCCTAAATGCGTTCCCCCTTTTATTACAATTTTTCTTTTTTTTAACTCTCAGAAATTCTATTTTAACTTTTTATAACTTTTATTTTACCAACTTCTCTAATTAATTACCTCCTTTAACATTACCCTCAATTATTTATTCCCTTTTTTCCACAAAATTTCTCCTGAATTTGAATTAATTAAATAATTCACTAATAATAACAGAATGAGTTAATGCAATACACATTCTTTATTCACTCCAAAATTTCAAAACATAATAAGTTAGATACAATACATAGCTAATTCTTTATGATTGCCCTATGGCCACTTAACCCCATATATTTAACCTTATTTCCGACTTTTATACTTTCTACCAACTCTCAATTTATACATATTTACATTAACGGTCAACAAATTAAGATTGGCTGCCCTTAAAGAGTCCCCAATTCTCCAAAATGTCCTTCTACTTTTATTAAATTTTTCCTAATTGATCCTATATACATTTTACACATTTTTTTTTATATATATATTACTACTCTTTATACCCTTGCTCTTAACTGATTTCTATGTCTCGTGACCTCACTATGGTCTTCCAATCTAACTTTCAGTATTTTATTTCCCACATTCCCTATAACTATTCCCTTTTCCCATTTTTTATTCATTCCATACATCCGAACCCATACCAATTGATTAACAACAAATTTCAAAACAACATTATCTCCAATTTCTACATCCATATCTATTGGTCTCAAACTATCCAAAAAGAAATTAATTTTTCTCCTTATCATTTTCTCTGCTGGTGTTTTGCCATCTTTTCCAATCGCACTGTTGTAATATAATTGAGCTATCCACAATTCTCCTTTACTACACTTATAAAAGCTGATCCTCCTTCGGAAACCATAATACTGGGAATACCAAATCTCGAAAACAATTTCTTGCAATGTCTTATTATTATTCCCGCTGTTAAACCATGTACTTCTCAAACTCAATCCATTTCGAAAATGCATCTACACTCAGAATAAACTTTTTTCTTCCCATTCAAAAAAATCCAAATGCACTCTTATCGATGGTCCTTTAACTTTTGGCCAATTACTATCTTTTTCCTTCGAGGGCATATCGGACCAAGTATTGCAAACCTCACAACTTTTACTCAAATCATTAATTTCTTCAATCATTCCGGGCCACCATACATATTCTCTTCCCCATTGCTTCATTTTTTCTATTCCTTGATGCCCCGCATGTAACATATTTAAAACTATTTCCCTTAATCGTCGTGGTACTATAACTCTATTTCCCCTCATTATACAATCATCAATTATTACCAATTCAGTTTCTATATTTTTATATTTATTTCCCTTATCATTCCACACTCTTTCTGTTATAAATAATTTTATCAAACTTAATTCCCTATCTTTCAGAGTATATTCCTGTATTTCTTTCCAAGTCGTAGGACTACCTTACCATGATTCGGCCGACCCCCTTAGATTTTTTTAAAATTTAGTAAGCAAAGAAAGGTTAGTGTAGTTAAGAAATAGCCAAAATTTTAGCCTCGTAACATTTATATTTTTGGAGATATTAGGGTTCAAAGTGGCAAAAATGACGTATTTTTACCATTATCTGCCTTCATTCAATTAAGCATATCTTAAAAACTATCTAATTGTAAATAACAAATTTAATATCAAAATTACGTACAAAGATTCTAGATAAAAAAAAAATTTTTTTTTTTCAATTTCCGGCCATTTTATTAAATATATAAGGACTATAAACGATTTTTTAGAAATAATACGACCTTCAATTTTTAAAAAAATTTTAGTAGTCAACACTGAACTCTTCCTTTATATTTATAAAAAAAATTGGTCTGGGACGAGGCCATCTTCATTCTCAAAATCGATAAAAATGTTTAGAAAAGTGTATAAATATTGTCCGGAAAGGGGGCGTCTTTGTATAAAATTATATATTAATCAGTTTTTAATGATTTTTCTTGGACTATTTGATATAATTTAAGAGTATTCATCTTGTAAGTGAAAATAACAATAAATGGGGCTTTCATTCAATTATAGAAATTGCCTATCGATAAAAGAAATTCAATTTATTACTTTATTATAAAATTTTTTGTTAATATAACATATATTAATATTATAAAATATATTCAACCAAATTTATACTTCTTGAATATATGAATCTGAATCTTGTGTATTTCATATATGGCGCCCTAAATATTAAAAATAATTGATATAATATAAATTTAAAAATCTAATATATAACTCACTTTTAAAAGATTCTAATTTTTCGGTAGCGCATTTACTTTCTTGTGATGACAATGTGTAACTACGGCCAGTAGCAGTTAACGGTGAAACTAATGTTAAGATATGACATTTTGGCAAGTAAAGAGTGTCGTCTATACTTGGAAATGTAAAGGAATTAGAAGGTCCGGATGGGTGTAAAAACTTTATATATATTTCTTCCTCCTTTTGATTTTTCCCTAAAACTAAGGCTAACCACCAATTAGAATCATAAACATGTTATATACCCTGATATTTCTCCAAAAATGATACTTTCATCATTATATGATAAATATTCTATATTACTTTCTATTGAATTGGAATATATTTTACTTTTAAATTGATGTAGACCTGTAGGAATCACCGTGTGAATTTTCTGTGTTCCAGGTATAGGTCTCGTTTTTGAAAACCTTTCCCTGAGTAATATTTCTTCTTGATCATAATTTTCTTGGGTCATATATTGAAAATATATGCCATTAATATTTTCTTTAGCGAACTCGTACAATTCATATGATGTGGTTATTTGCTTTGAGTAAGGTCTTTGTAAACTAGCTCTAGCGGCTAATCTTTTAACAGTGCCACCAATCCCATCACAAACACTTTTCCCATGTGCTGTAGCAGAAAAATACCATTCCGCCTGTATCCCGAAATCTATCTCATGATGGCAAATATTAATAAAATTTTTACGATTTTTATACTGTGCAGCAGATCCATCGGAAAAATAAAAAATTTTACTTGGCATACAAATTTTATTAATTAAAAAATTTACCAATGTTTTTTGGAAATAATGTACTGCTATTGTATTGTGTTGCAAAGATTCGGATATCATTACATAATTTAGGCAACAAATATTGGCTAGATCCAATGATCGTTAATTTAAAATTTTGGTGGTAGCTGCAAACACAAACATTATGTGTACCACTACCTCCTACGAGTATATTATTTT